CCCCGCGTCGTGAGACGAACCATGACGGAAGGCTTTCTGCCAGCTTTCGGCCTCCCGGTGCCCTTTCATTGCCAGGCCCAGGGCCGTCCGAGAACGACTCTGGACGAAGAGCTGGTCCACGGGAAGGGGTCCGGAGTTTTCTCGGAAACTGGAACGTATACATTACCAGTGGCGGGCTGTTTCTCAATCCCAAGATTTTTTGAGGGTCGGGGACGACGTCGGGGTGGTGTGGTGTATACGTTTCTTCCCCCGCTTTCCCGTGGAAGCAACAAATGTAGACTCCAGGATGCCGTATACACCAGAATACGTTTTCTTGTGCGGATCTCAGAGCGGGACCGGAAAAAAAGCATCGTTGAATAGAAAGTTCGGTTCCTCATCTTTCAGGAGGAAAAGAGTCACACAGACACAATTCATCCTCGACTCCCCAGAAAAAATATAGGAAACATGGGAAGTGGCGGGGAAGACGAAAACCAAGAACATATAGGAAAAGATGGGGAATCTTTTTATTCGTGTGTACACCCTGCGAAATGCTTTAGAAATCATGGGTTAAGAAATTCATAGTCTAGGAACTTGAATAAAAACCCAGAATGTCGATTCAAATCTTAGGATTTGCATTGAAACGTTAAGAAAAATCGAGGCTCTGGCCGAAAACTTGGGTTTTCTTAAGCATCGCCTAGAGTGTATTTACTCGTGTGTCCCAGGGCCCCTTCAATTTTCGGGAGCCCCGCCGTGAAACAAAAATCACGACCTCGGAGGTCTGGGCCGGCAGGCCGGCCGGCCGGCAGGCCGGCGCCGGGCCTCGTGGCCATCGTGGCCATCGGAGCACGGGCCGGGTCTCGAGGAGGGAGGCTCCCAACGTTCAGGAGGGGAAAAAACACACAGACACAATTAATCGGCGGTTCCCAGAAAACATGGGACAATATGGGAAGTGGGGGGGAAGACAGAAACCCATAAGATATGTGAAAATATGGGGGGTAATTTTATTTGTGTATATTTATTTGTGTGTCCCAGTTCCCCTTCAAACGTGAGAAGCACACTGGTGGCCCCTGCCAAGACACGCCCTGCTTGCCTCCAGGCTGCCCCGGGTTTCGAGGGTTTTGCCACGGAGAGCGTGGCGTTCCCACGCCAAAGAACCGGCGGGCGTCCTGGAGTCTCAGGGTTGGGCTTCTTGTGCATCGGCCCCCACCGTAAACATACATTTTGGGAGCACCGCGCGGATTTCTTGAATTTGCGCTGGAACCCCCTGGCGGCGCATCCGTCGCCGCCTCTGGCGGCGCATCCGTCGCCGCCTCTGGCGGCGCATCCGCGCGCCAGGGAGGGGGGTCAAGCGCAGATTCAAGAAATCCGCGCGAAGGTCCGAACATTTATGGTTAGGCAGCTCCTCTTCCAGGATCGAAGCGATCCGGGAGCCCTTGCACCGAGAAAGCGTGGCGCCGGATGTGGGGGTGCGGTGGGTCCACGTCGTGTCGACCTGCGGCGACCCCGCCGCCGGCGTTCAACGTGGAACGCCGCTGGCGACCCAGAATCGGTCGACGTTGCACGATCGGACAGTGCGGGAGCGACCGACCGTTCGAGGTTGAAGGATCCTCGCGGTGTCCGGGACAAGCGCTGGGGTCTACACGACGCGAACCTGCCGTATGCAGTTCCTGATTCAGGATCGAAGAGATCTGGGAGCCCTTGCATCGAGAAAGCGGGGCGCCGGATGGGGGGTTACCCCTCCTCCCGCATACCAGGCCGATCGTTCGAGGTTGAACGATCCTCGCGGTGTCCGGGACCAACGCCGGGGTCTACACGACGCGAACCTGCCGTAGCCATCCTCGGATTTTGACGAGGAGGAGTTTCGTGGGATGTCTGCAGCGGGAGGCCTCGTCAAAATGCAGGCTCGGCCTCGTCTTTTTTTTGACGACCTCGTCGGGGAGATTTCCGAGTCCCCTGTGCCCGGGTCTTACGCCCCCCTGATACCAGGCCGATCGTTCAAGGTTGAACGATCCTCGCGGTGTCCGGGACCAGCGCCGGGGTCGACGCGACGCGAACCTGCCGTAGCCATCCTCCTGCGGGCGTTCAAGGTTGAACGCCGCTAATGGCCTAGAATCGGCCTACATGGAATGATCTGGCTATCGACAAGCCGCCGATCGTTCAAGGTGGAATACGCGGTGTCAGGGACCAGCGCCGGGGTCTACGCGACGCGAACCTGCCGCATGCTCCCGCATACCCGGCCGACCTCATGGTACGTCTGTGGCGACCCAGCATCGGTCGACGTTGAACGATCGGACGGTGCGGGAGCGACCGATCGTTCGAGGTTGAACGATCCTCGCGGTGTCCGGGACCAACGCCGGGGTCTGCACGACGCGAACCTGCCGTAGCCATCCTCCCGCATACCGAAGGATTGCAACAAAAACCTAGGATTGCAAAAAACCTAGGTTTTTGTTTGCAATCCTTTGGACCAACGCGAGGGTCGACGCGACGCAAACCTGCCGCAGCCATCCTCCCGCATACCCGGCCGACCTCATGGTACACGTCTGTGGCGCGGGCCTTCGGCCTAGAATCGGCCTACATGGAATGATCTGGCTATCGACAAGCCGCCGATCGTTCAAGGTTGAACGATCCTCGCGGTGTCCGGGACCAACGCCGGGGTCGACGCGACGCGAACCTGCCGTAGCCATCCTCCCGCGTACCCGGCCGACCTCATGGTATTCGTCTGTGGCCTAGAATCGGCCTAGAATCGGCCTAATGGCCTAGAATCTGTGTTCAAGGTTGAACGCCGCTAATGGACTAGAATCGGCCTACATGGAATGATCTGGCTATCGACAAGCCGCCGATCGTTCAAGGTGGAACGATCCTGGCGGTGTCCGGGACCAGCGCCGGGGTCTACACGACGCGAACCTGCCGTAGCCATCCTCCCGCATATACCAGGTCGACGTGGAACGATCGGACGGTGCGGGAGCGACCGATCGTTCGAGGTGGAACGATCCTCGCGGTGTCCGGGACCAACGCCGGGGTCCACGCGACGCGAACCTGCCGTAGCCAGCATCGGTCGACGTTGAACGATCGGACGGTGCGGGAGCGACCGATCGTTCGAGGTTGAACGATCCTCGCGGTGTCCGGGACCAACGCCGGGGTCCACGCGACGCGAACCTGCCGTACCCGGCCCGGAGGCGGAGGAGGAGGATCGAGGAGGAGGAGGAGGAGGAGGAGGAGGAGGAGGTGGAGGAGGAGGAGGATGAGGGGAAGGAGGAGGAGGATGTGGGGGTACCCATCCTCCCGCATATACCAGGCCGACCTCGTGGGTATTCGTCTGTGGCGCGGGCCCTCGGACCTCTCGACATCCGATCTGCTGCCCCCCAGCACCGTCGGAGTACGACGGGGGGATCCCTCCTCCCTCCTCCTCCCTCCTCCCTCCTCCCTCCTCCCTCCTCCCTCCTCCCTCCTCCCTCCTCCTCCTCCTCTCCTCCTCCCTCCTCTCCTCCTCCCTCCTCCTCCTCTCCTCCCTCCTCCTCCCTCCTCCCTCCTCCCCCTTCCCCCCTCCGCCTCCTCCCCCTCCTCCCCCTCCCCCTCCTCGTCTCCTATCCTAGGGATGCGGCCCTGGGGAGCCACGCTGTCACAACAACACACACACACACATGCACACACACATATGCACACACATGCACACACACACATGCACATGCACACACACGCACACGCACACGCACACGCACACGCACACGCACACGCACACGCACACGCACACGCACACGCACACGCACACGCACACGCACACGCACACGCACACGCACACGCACACGCACACGCACACGCACACGCACACGCACACGCACACGCACACGCACACGCACACGCACACGCACACGCACACGCACACGCACACGCACACGCACACGCACACGCACACGCACACGCACACGCACACGCACACGCACACGCACACGCACACGCACACGCACACGCACACGCACACGCACACGCGCACGCACACGCGCACGCGCACGCGCACGCGCACGCGCACGCGCACGCGCACGCGCACGCGCACGCGCACGCGCACGCGCACGCGCACGCGCACGCGCACGCGCACGCGCACGCGCACGCGCACGCGCACGCGCACGCGCACGCGCACGCGCACGCGCACGCGCACGCGCACGCGCACGCGCACGCGCACGCGCACGCGCACGCGCACGCACACGCGCACGCGCACGCGCACGCGCACGCACACGCACACGCACACGCACACACGCACACACACCCACACACACACACACACACGTCGTACGTCTGGGCTTCCCTGTGGCCAAATCTTCTTCCCGCCCTGTTCATGTTGAAGGTCTGGGTTTCTTCCTGTCTCCCCAATTCGTGCTTTGCGCGGCCCGCCTAGCTCTTAACCGGAAAAGGCTCGCTCTCGACCCGCAGACCAAAAAAGTTGAAGGTCTGGGGGCCCCGTGGAGCCCAGTCAGCGGGGATGCAGGTCCAGTTTCCAGGGCCCTTTTCCTCCAGGGCCCGCTACCTTCATGGCTTGCCGACTGCGGCACTCACGTCCAGAACAGTAAAAGCTCTGAAGGGCACGGCGAAAAGTGTTGCGAATGATCTTGGTCAGAGCGTGAGGTACCTACCCCGCGTTTGCTTCCAGGTAAACCCCGCGTTTGCTTCCAGGCAAAACCAAGTCATGCCGCGCGCCTCCTCGTCAGGCGGCCTGACCAGTGCGGGCGTTAGTTTGGCATCGTTTGGTCTCTCTTGGAAGCGAGGGTGGTCAAAAGCGTTGTAGGTTCGCTTGCCTCCTACTTGGGTGCAGGCAGGCGAGTGCGCGCACGTCCAGACACGGATGTCGACAGCGACGGCTCCTCTGAGACGGGTCCGAATTTTAAAAGGCATCGGCAGTGCTTGGGGCTCTCCCCGTGGGCCCTTTCGCACGGCCGTAGACCTTTCCAGCCGCGCAGCCCCTGTTCTTGCTGCCGTGAGGGAAACGTAGACGCTTCTCAAGCCTGGCGCAAGCTTTTCTCACTCGCATT